TCAATCTTGGACCTGACCTTGGACTCTATCTCGTGTCTCGAACTCGATCTGGGACTCGGTCTTAGATCCGATCTCGGATCTCGGACTCGGTCTCAAACTCAGTCTTGGACTCAGTCTCAAACTTGGTCTCAGACTCGGTCTCATACTTGATCTTGGACACAGTCTCAAACTTGGTCTTAGAGTTGGTCTTGGACTCGGTCTCAAACTTGGTCTCAGACTCGGTCTTATACTTGATCTTGGACTCAGTCTCAAACTCGGTTTTAGAGTTGGTCTTGGACTCGATCTTAGACTTAGTCTCATTTGATAAACTTTTTATCATTTTAGTCATATTTTCAGGGATCCTTTAGCTTTCAACACCTTGGGGAATTGGTTCCTTACAACTCCATCACCCATAAAAGAAGTTCAATGCCCACATCAAACACCTCTTTTTAATCCTATGACTTGTACCATGTTTTCGGGGACATTGGTGTGCCTAAGTTAGCCTTTCCAGCCAATAGCCCATGACAACGGAATATAGGTGTCTCTATACCCCCTCCCCTCACTACACCCTAGTATAGGGTTGGGACTTGAACCTAGCTTTGCTTTACTAGAGGGTTGGGACTTGAACCCAACTTCCATAGAATAGTCTATGGATTTAACATCCCCGTGGGGAGTTGAGCGTAGTTTTTTATGCTTGGTTGACCTAGTTAACCCATGCTAATTAGCTTATCTTTGGCGCCCCTTCGGGTCCTAACATATGACATTGCTCAATTTCTTAAATAGATTCTTTAATTGAATTTTGCATAAGTATATAGAGTTCTACCTTGCAAAAATTCATTTACTAGATCCCACACGTTCACTAAGTTTTCCTTTAATTCCCATGTTGTTTTGCAATGTGGAAATCCTTTCCACTTCACATGGAACTCCCTCACCTCACATCTTTGTTACTTGCTCTTGTGTGCATTGAGGATGGCTTTGATTTTGTATTCCTTTTCCCCTTGGATAACCTTAAGTAAAAGTTTTATTTGGTCCTTGCGAAGCAAATCCTCAAAATACAGCTTGAGTAAGTTCACATGGAACATAGAGTGCATCTTCCTCATCTCTCGAGGAAGTTAAATATAGTAAGCCACCTTATCAATTTGTGCCTCAATCTTGTAAAGTCTCACAAACTTGCTTAAGGAACTCAAGATCAGTTAATTTCCAGGAATACATGCATTTTTACCTTTGAGTTAGCTTTCAATCAATCCCACTTGGTAGCCTTAAGTTCTTGGTGTTAAATCACACCTTCTCCCCAAGTTAGAACTTTACATCTCGATGCTTTTGGTTTGTATATTTGGTTTGCCTTTGTTGAGCTTGTTCCAAGGAATCCTTCACTAGATTCTAAATGTTGAGTCTTTCTGCCATGAATGCCTCCACTGTGGGTGACTCCCCATGATACTCGGTCACATTGAGTTCCACAGGACCTTCAATAGCTCGCCCATTGATGACTTCCTATAGACTCACCCTAATACTCGAGTGTGGTGTGTTTTATAGCACATTTCCACAAGTCCTAAATGACTTACCTAATCAGTCTAATCTCTGGAGATATAGCATCATAAATAATCCTCCAACTGCCTATTCACCCTTTTTGTTTGTCCATCTGTCAAGAAGTGTTAGTGCCATCAAACTTGACTTAATACCTAATACCTGTCTATGGGTGATAAGTTGTGCTAAATTTCAATTTGGTGCGATGTTATTCTAAGAGAGTTCTTTAGAACCTATTAGTGAAGATCTTATCTCAATTTGAGATAATCTCTTTTGGCCTTCCCCACACTTGAACCACTTATTCGAAGAACAACTTCACCACACCTTTTGCATCCACTTCAATTGTAATGGGTATGAAATGTGCCATCTTTGAAAATTGGTCCACCACCACAAATATTGCATCAAACCCCTAATTTGGGGAGAGTCTTATGATGAAGTCTATCATAAAACATTTCCATGGACGATTAATCTTGGACGTCCTTAGCTATATCTGGCCAGTGATACTTCCTCTTGAATAAGCCCATCGTCTCGGGCACTTTGTCGTGTCCCACAAGAAGTCCATTATGACATTCTTCTAAGGCTACCTTCCTTAGTTCCCCTTTTAGAACATATATTTTCATTTGTTTATAATAGATGAGTCCATTGCATTTTGCATAGCCTGTTTTCTCTTCCGTTGGCAACTCACCTCTTTAGTGAGCTTCCCGTGCCTCTTGGTTCCTCAACAACACTTCTTGTGCTAGACCATCGTTCTCATACGCTGTTTGCACATCATTCCAAAAGGTTTTTATCATGCTGGATATCACTAACTTCAAGCTCACTTTTCAACTTAGAGCATCTACCACAATGTTGTTTTTCCTAGATTTATACAAAATCTTGCAATCAAACTCGGCCAAAGCATTAGCCCACTGACCTTGTTTCTCTCTCATGTTGGGCTGTGTTAACAAGTGTTTCATTGCCATATTATCTGTGTAAATTTTGAAGTGTCTCTTAAGGTAGCGTCACCACTCCTTGAGTGCCTTAATCACCACAAACAATTCCTTCTCGTGGGCAAGCCACTTTTGCTGAGTTTTGTCCAACTTCTTCGAGAAGAATGCTAATCTTGCTTCAAAATTGTGCCCAACACAAAGTTTAAAACATCTCATCACCAAAAGTATAGTAGGGAGAGTGTGGGGGTTGTACCTTAGTGGTGGACCTTAGTAGAGTCAATTTGGCCTAAGAAGGCTGTACCTAGGTGTTGGGTGATAAAATAACCACTAGGAAGTTCAAGACTAAAGTGAATACAAACCAACAAGCAAGGTAGTTTGGTGAAGTGTTCGAGAGTTGGCTTTAGTTCCCCTAAGAGATCAAATAGTCGATGCTCCCAATCCAAGCATGGGTGGCACTACTTACTTGGATACCTAACATGGCTCAACGGAACTTCACTTTAAACCCATGGCTAGAGCACCCAAATGCAAAAGGTGGGGAGAGTACCTATGAGGCTCATATAGGGCCATAGTATTCCAAAATGTTGTCATAAAGTCCTAAATTGTGGAAAGGAAGAGGAGTAATCCTTTAGGGTACTGACTAAAGATATGGCCACATGGTGAGGAAGTCCTAAACGATAGTGGGACTTAATGGTCAAGCTTGTAAGCCTTGATTTAGTGGCAATGTTGGCAAACACGGGCATAGACAGAAAGGGACATGGTGGGGACTAAAAAAGGATATTGGGGAAGGTTGTTCCTTATATTTGTGGGCATCTTAAGGATGTTGAAGAGTGGATTTGGGAGAACCACTCATGGATGGATAACCAATCTTGGAAAAATAGGACTAAGATGCAAGGGGTATTGGACCACCAATGCGGCAAAGGTGAATAGGCATGGCCTTAGTGTAACAGATTAATATATTAGTGATACCTTTGGGTGTTAATCATGGGATCAAACATATGGAGCATTTGGATCAAATGCAAAAGTTGAGTGGCATAGATGTTATTCTCAAGGCTAGCAAATCTTAAGTCCTAAATTGGATTTATAGACATTGTCAATAAGACTCCTTTAAATCGTCAGAAATGTAATTAAATGACTAAAATAGAATGGAAAAATTAATCACTTAAAGTGTTGTGGAACATCGCAATGTCAACCTATGGTCAAAACAATGTGTTGATCACACAAAGTTTATGTTTGATCAAAAGAAACATGATCTCTTGGACTGCTTTGATGTCATCTGGTGCACAAAACAGCTCCATTAATCCTGTGAATATCATGTTCTAGAAAATGCCTTTCTGCAATATCATCTCCTGGAATGCTATTGTTGCAGCAAATGCCCAACTTGGATACGTTGAAGAAATGAACATGCTTTGATGCGGATCCATTTTCATGGAACTCACTACTTTCAGGGTTTTCTCAAGCGGGGCACCTCGCTCAAGTCTTGCAGGTCCAAAACACTGTGTCATCTCATGGAATGTAGAGCTCGTGGCATTTGGGACGAATGGCTGCTTGGAAATCCATGCCTGAGAGAACCCTAGTATCTTGGAACATATACCAGAATATATTATCATATGATTGTTGAAGGATTCAGAAAGATTCTCACCACAATATGGCAGCTCCAGCAAGAGCCCATGGTGCAATGGATCTGTGGAGAAACTGGGACACCGTCTCAAGGCATGTGCCAGGAGGGCAGCAGGCTCCACAGCTCCATGCTTGTTTCCAATCTGTGCCATTGCAACTTCCTGGTGCTTAGGTATGGGGCTCACAAGGAACTGCAGCAGGTCTTGGAGATCTTTGCCTCTATCCTGAACCCTGACACCAGATCATGCAACATTATGCTCAATGTCTACAACCAAAATGGCCGACTGAAAGAAGCAAAACTTTTCTTTGTTCAAGTCTCCCTGCCTGACACAGTTTCTTCCGTTGCTAGGATAATGAGGAGAAAAATTGCCATTTTCTTTATGTTTTTCATTTCCTCCTTATATCATTTGAGTTATTATTTCAAATGTAGAGTCAAACTCGCCCATTGAATAATTGTCTATGTTTCCTGGGATAGTTTCTCAATAAGACAGATGATAAAACAGTTATTTACTTTATTTTTCCGGCATCTTTCCTAAAGGTAGACCCCATTGTTAATCAAAACGATGAGAAAAACAAAGGGTGGCACCTGCAAAAAAGAAAGTTTTAGAAACAAATCGCAAAAGGAGAGAGAAATCGCAAAGATGGAAGGATTCCAAGGATGCGAGAGAAAACTTTCGGGACAAAGAGAAAATCTCACCACCAAGTCTACTAGAGCGCTCAATTAGCATGCGAGAGGCACTAGGATTGATACTCTCTACATTCCTTTTCTTTCTCTTCTTTGTTTTCGTATGCCCTTAATCTTTGCCAGATCGCCTGGAGCCGGAAGAGCTCATCCATCTCCTCCTCACCTGCACATCCCTGCGATTGGTCGATGGTGGTAGGAAGCTCCACGCCCATATCTCCCGTCTGGGCCGCCTTGAAAGGGATGGGCGTCTCGCGAATCACCTCATCGACATGTATGGCAAGTGCGGGCATTTGGACGATGCCAAGGCTGTGTTCCAAAGCCTTGACGCGAGTAAGAGGAGCTCTCTCTCGTGGAGCGCGCTCATCACGGCTCACGGCTCATGTGGATCAATCGGAGGGGCTGTTGGCCTGCTGAACGAGATGGAGGAGCAGGGAATTCTCCCGGATCAAACCGCCCTCTTGCCAGCGCTCAATCTTTGCCCCACACACGGCGCTCTCGCAGGGGGCATTGTGGTACACAAAATAATAGCGGATCGTGGGCTGGAGAAGAATGTGATAATCTCAAATGAGATTATCAACATGTATGGAAAATGCAGCCAAATCGACCAAGCCAGAGCTTTCTTAGATAGAATGTATTTCCGAAACACAGGGTCTTGGAACGCCATTGTTTCAGCATATGCCCAAAATGGGCATCAGTCGGATGCAGTGAAAATGCTCTTTGTCATGCAGCTCGAGGGCGTCAAGATTGGAAAAATCGGATTCGTTACACTCCTCAAGGCTTGCTGCGGCCCAATGTTCCTGAAGACCGGCAGACTCATTCACTCTTGTCTTCCGGAGGATGTTCTCCATGAGACGGACGTCACAGCCGGAACGAGCCTTGTTCATATGTATGCAAAGTGTGGCAGCCTTGCGGAAGCGCGAGAGATTTTTGAGCGGATGAGCTGCAAGAACAAGTTTGCATGGTCTGCCATGATCAGCGCTTACGTAGAACACGAGGAAACGAGGTCTTCCCTCGAGTGTTTTTGTCTGATGCTGCTCAATGGTGTCGAGCCAGATGAGCTTTCGTGGCGGTTTTAGAGGCTTGCGGCGTCCTCAAGGCTGGATGTTTTGTCCACGGTTTGATCGAAGAGTGTGGCTTCCAGAGCGTCCCATTTGTAGGAAACACGCTGATAACCATGTATTCCCGGGAGGTGTGGCAGCGCATTTGAATCGAGGAGAGTTTTCCAGAGCATGGATTGTCCAGACGCAGTCGCCTGGTCGTCGATCATTGCAGCTCTCGCGGAGCAAGGCAATGGAAAAGGACTGCAGGGGATGGTGTTTCTTTGGCGCATGCAGCTAGAGAGCGTGAGGCCGAACAACGTAACTCTCCTGGCGGCGCTCAATGCGTGCTCGTCCCCGGCGTTTCTGCGCGGGGGCCGACAGATTCACCGTGGAGTCCGGCTATGACTCCTCTAACAAGATCGTGGGGAACGCGCTCGTCAACATGTTTGCAAAGTGTGGGAGCTTGCTTGATGCACGAGAAGCCTTCGCCAAGATCTCTCACAAGGATGCGACGTCGTGGAAAGCCTTGATCACGATCTACGTACAGTACCAGCATGGAAAAATCGTACTCGATTCACACATGCAGTTAGAAGGATTCCGGATGAACAACCACACTTCCGTAAACGCTATCATTGCCTGCACGGAGATCTCCTCCTTGAAAGATGGCAAGCGAGTCCACGGCTGGATTTGCGAGAGGGGAGTGGAGCTGGACGTTCTACTCGGCAACGCAGTGCTCAATCTCTACAGCAAATACGGGAGCCTGGACGCTGTTCTTCCAGCTGCGAAGAGAAGACGTGATAACCTGGAGTGCAATGGTGGGAGCCTACGATCGCCACGGCCACGCGGTGCGAGCTCTCACGCTCTTCCGAGTGATGCAAATGGGATCCGACACCATGCCAAACTCCATCAACTTCGTCAGCGTCCTCTCGGCGTGTAGCCACGCCGGGCTCTAGGACGCTCACTGCAGCTTTGTGTCGATGAGGAGCAACTATGGGATCGCCCCCGCTGCGAAGTACTACGTGTGCATGGTCGATCTTCTAGGGCGAGCCGGGAAGTTTGAGGAGATGGTACGTTTCGTGGTAAGCTCTCCAGTGGAGGGCGATGCTGTGGTGTGGAGGGCCGTGCTGGCGGCTTGCAGAAGCCTCGGCAAGTTGAGATTGGGAACCGAGCTGTTAAGCGGACTCGTGATTTAGAAAACAAGCGGAAAAGAGAAGATAAGCGAAGCAATCCTGACATACCCGGTATGAGAACGCCTGAGTTCCAACGTACGTAGAAGAGTTCCTCTTCTTCTTTTGCACGAGCATCCAGGTCTCTCTTGAATTTAGTGCTATGGGGCCGTAAGTTTGCTGGATCTGCAAACAGCGTCAAGTCAGCGTGATCTTTCAACACAGTGCAACAAGACGAAACAAGTCATATCGTCTTCTATTTCAATACCAGGATGTCCTTGAGACTTGTCAGTTGACTGATCGCTGGGTCCGGTCCTTCTGCATCCATGCACCCTGGACGCTCTTTTAAGAAGAACAAAGGAAGCAAGCTGGAAGCATTCACCAGAATTGCGGCATCGATTCCAGCTTCACTGAAAAGTGCTGTCTCTTTTCTTGCTTGATGGTCACCCATAGTTGCACCAGCACAGCAAGCTCCATGAGCAGCAAAGATCCTACAATCAGACGAATCCTGAGGAGCTTTACACTCAAGTCCACGAGAAATGCAGATAATTGAAGCACATACCAGTAGAGTGAGCTCGTGGGAGACAAGACCAGCCTTATTTTGTTGCCCGCATGAAGCGCAGATCTTGAAACGGTGACCCTTTGGGCAGGACACGAAGGCACCCAGCATTGGACACAGCACAGCCGCTTCCAGCAGCACGAAGCCAAATGCAGCTACCTGGATCCGCCATATTCGAGATTTACAAGTCTGCTCGTTAAGCCCTAGGGATGGCAGGCTTCTCGTTCTCATTCGGATATTCGTTCCGGAGAGCCGGCTGCTGGTCTCGGCCTTGCCAGAACTAAAAGAGATACAGTTTATTTGAAAAGCCGAATGCAGCAGCGTCTGGGCTGAGGTTCGATTTCATCCAATTGTTTGCATATGTTTGTAACTTGACTTTCGATTTTCTCCAGGATCAAGACGCCTGAGAGTCGCTTGGCATCTCTATGTTCGCAGCAATTTCGAACCGGTTCGTGGGGCAAAGGCCAAGAAAGGCGTTCTCGAGCCAGCCGGATCCACAGAGCTGTGACAGCTAGTGCTGAACAAAGGAATGGAGCATCTGGTGCATTGTCAATCCATACTGAAGAATCTCAATTGAGGCTATGGTGTTCCAGCTCCCCATTTAACCATGTCAATACCCTATAAAATCTCTCTCCTGATCTTGTTCCAGGGCACTGCAGCTGGCGGCACACCTAAGATTTTTGCGGATAGAACCGCCGGATTGCTTAACCCGGTTGGGAAAGAAGGCGTTTCAGCTTCAAATGGCACAGTTAAAAACGAGCATGGGTGCAGCCGGGTCCGGCAACGGTTCCTCATATTGTAAATGCACTGAGACAGATATTACAGCAGCAGCAGTGAGCACATTTGGCTTCTGCTTCTCGAGCATCACGTACATATTAGTGCTGGGCCAGCATGTTTGTACAGGAGGCGGGTAGGATCTCCCAGGCATAGATATCCTTTGGGAACAAACAGAAGTCGTGTTGTACCGAACAGATCGACCATGCAGAACTAATTCGGTTGAATGTGGATGTCGGCTGTCATACTTTGGAAGGTTTCTCAGGCGGCTGCAACAGGCGCACAAAGACCATAGCATCCCTTCCCTTGGAAGATTAATACAGCTTCAGCCAGGGCATAGCATGAGAATGGTCTAGGAAGAGGTTACAAGCCAGCATGGTTCGTATGCTGCCAGCATTGCATTTGCAGTCTACATTTTCCGTAACTTGCTTGCTCTGAGCGTAGCCACCTGACATGCTGCATTGTCGAATTCTCCACAGCGATTCACATACAGAGTTTCCATTATTTTTATCTGCAACCAAATTTCCAGGTTCGTTTTGATGATTTGATTTTTTGGAGAGAGCGTGACCAAGGAATAATCAAGGAAATTTATCTAGGACAGCTTATATACTTATTAACTTCACACGTTTCCTTATGGAATTAATACCACACCATATACGCAATTAGTGTTTTGGTTTTGGGCGCGGAGGTTCATCAGATCCATCGATTGCACATGGTGTAGCCTGGCTCATGCTGAGGTTGTGCCAAACTTGGAGGTACGGGAACAGCCCGAGTACACGGGCACACTCACTCTCCCTCAAAGCACGAAACACAGACCTGTATAAACAAAAGCATATATAGAACGCATACAAACAGTGGGAGATTCACCTGATAAACACCATCATGGGCATGGTGTTGATGGGAACACTTAAGCCAGCAATGCTGTCATGGTCCGTCACTATGGCTCCCAGACGTGGAGTCTGTCTGAAAGGTCCTTCACTGCTACTACTTGCACCTCTAGCTTTGAGAAAGTTTACACATCATTTGACACATACGATTTTAGATTTAGAATGGAAGTTTTGAGTTTCTAATGATGCCCTTTAAGCTGTGCAATGCACTAGGAACGTTCTCGGCATTGATGAACCACATTTTTGTACTTTACCTAAAGCATTTTGTGGTCATCTACATTGACAGATATCTTGATTTATAGCGAGACGCTAGAAGAGCATGTTGAACACTTGACGAAGGTGTTTGAGAAATTAAAAGAACACCAACTATATATTAAAACGAACAAATATAACTTTTCTCAATAAGAGGTAAAGTTTCTTGGGCATGTGGTAAGCAAAGATGGGCTCAAGGTGGATCTTGAAAAGGTCTAAGCGATCTAGGAATGGGAATAACTATTGAATGTACACAAATTAAGAGCATTGTTAGGGTTATGTAACTACTACTGAAAGTTTTCAAACACTATTTAAAAATACCCCTACCTTTAATGGACTAAACAGGAAAAGGGAAAATGGTATGGACAGCGAGGTGGCATTTATCCATCTCAAAAGAAGTTGAGGAAGGCTCCTGTGTTGGCATTACTAAACTTTGGTAAAGACTTTGAGGTAGAAATGGATACTTCAAACTTTGCGTTAGGCACAGTTTTGAAGCAAGATAATGTTCTTCTCAAAGAAGTTGAAGAAAGCTTAGCAAAAGTGGCCTACCCATGAGAAGAAATTATTTGCGGTGATCAAAACACTCAAGGAGTGGTGACATTACCTTGGGAGACACTTCAAAGTTTACACGAATAATATGGCAATGAAACACTTGTTATCACAACCCGACTTAAGAGGGAAATAAGGTTGGTGGGCCAATGCTTTAGGCAAGTTTGATTGTGAGATTCTCTAGAGATTTTGGAATCTCCTTGTTAATGATCTTGCAGATTTAGTTGAGCATCAAGATTCAAGGTCGTCCATAGCATTGGAATATCACCCAGCAATCTAAGGATTGTGCCAGAGAGTGAATTGGTGCTGAGATTCAGTGAGATGAGGTGGCCAAATGATGCCAAGCAATTCATATAGACGACTAGTGCACTGTCCATGACTGTTGATTCGCAGCTGGGTTGCCTCGGCCGTGAACCTGTCCACCAATGCACTCTTGGACTTGCTTCACTTTGGCGCTTCCAGGGCCTCTAGAGCTAGGACCTCTTCCATGCATCACTGATCCATGATTGCAAAGCTTCACGGATGCTTGAAGGGTCTTCGACGTGATAATGGGGTGTCTCGGCCTGGAGAGTTTAGGAACACAATAGATCTTTCAAGCTAGTAGATATTGAAGATCTCCAGGCCTGCTGCAGTTCCACGTACATGAGCACTAAATGAACTTAGCAACGGCGAAGCAAGAATGGAGCTGTGGAGCATCCTGCCTTTGTAGAGATCTTTGGAGACAGTTCTCTCTTATAAAATAAGGCAAGGAGCTCGACCCTGGATCAGATCTTGCGAAACTGAGCTGCCTTGACAGGGGGATGGCGAGAAGATTTATTATTTGTATTATTTTATTTAGTTAACAGCTCGTTGGTTTAGTTTATTTGGAGCTTTTGTGAATGCTTGCCATCCAAATATTTTGTGTAGACATTTGTGATGTGCTCTTGGTATAAGGTTGACTTGTAGAGTGGCGGGTTTTGCTCATCAATAAGTTCTGGCAGGGGTCCTATCACAGCATCCCGTGATGGATTGCAAAATGCCACGATGGAGAGACGAGTTTGATCAGGCTGGACAAGGACTCGGTGCTCAATGCTCTTGTATTTTCCATTGCTCAAAATCTGGCATGGAAAAGAACAAAGCCATGATAAAAATCAATCCAAGTCACTTACTTCAAGCTGATCAGCGATGTTCACAATGAATGCATTCTTTATAGGCTTCAAGTCGTACCAGAGATCACCTTTCCTGGCCTGGAGTCCGCCAACTTGATCTTCAAACAGGATTGTCAAACCGCCACTATCGGTGTGGCCATTCATCCCAAGAGCAAGGTCGGGATTTGGGCACAGCGGATAGTAATTTGATCGCAAGATCATCTCCGAGTCTCCAAACGATTTCGCGAGGCAGTTTGAATCCAGCCCGAGTCCTTCAGACAAAGCAGACATCAGAGTCTGACTCAGATGTCTCACGCTTGAAACATAGCTGGAAGCGAGCCTCCTGCAATATCCAAGAAACCAAGCAATCTCATGAAATCCAGATTAGTCAAGCTCATTTACTTGTAGCAGGCTGGTTTTTCCGGCCATGGATGCTCTTTTTCTCTGTTTGAAAAGTAGTGCTGAAAGTGGTCGTGCCACTCCATATGAGTCTCTTGAGAAGGTGTCATACTCGTGCAGTACCGCACGGGCACAAACACCTCCTCCGTATAATACTTCATCTTCTCCTCAATAGGAAGATCAAAGAGCTCAAGCACTCCATGGACCATGCCTTGCATGGTTGCAACAGGAATCCCGTGGTTGATCACCTGCATGTGACATCATATTATGAATGATCCTTTTGAGCAGGTACACATCAAAATACCTGAAAGATGCCCCATTCACTCGAAGCCTTGCACAAAGTTTGAACAAATTTCTCTCGGTCACTCTCCAATGCAGCCATGTCAATCACAGGGATCTCCACTCCAGGAACGATCAAATGCTTCACAGCTCGGTGGCTGGGAGGTTTGATATAACGGCCAGGAATGGTAACGAGGCCATTATCCATGAGAGCTTTGACACCCTTTGGAAGAACATCAGTCTGCTGATTGACATTTGCAACAAAGGAAGGCATAGCTACAAAATTAGGAGGAAACAAGATGAATGAGGTTGCATAGAATTGGTGGGTTTATATAGTTGATTTTTCATGATGTTAAAGTCCAAGTTGGTGGCCGCGAAAGACCTTCTTTCTAGGTGGCAGCCCACCTGGCCATCGCCTCAATTCCTTAAAACATCACGTCTTTTCTTTTTCGAGACTCTGGATAGTAAGCGACGAAGCCGGCAGCAGCAGCGAAGGAGGGAGCCGACATCGCGGCTTCGATTTTCTACATCCATCAGTCACAAGATTACCGAAATAACATAAATAGATAGTTGTAAGCATGAGACTGATGGATGCAAGAATGCCACGATTGAAAATTAGAGCTACATCTTGCAGATCTTCCTGGTCTTCAGTCCTTGTTGTGCGCTGCTTGGACACAATTTCTTTCTGAAAGAGCCGGGTAGAAAAACTAAGACAGTGAATATGTTCTCTTTCGATTTGAATTTCTTCCTTTAAATATATATGCTCTCCACTCTTATTTCAATCTAAAGTTTAGCTTAGGATCATGGTTGGGACGATCAAACACCTCTACAACAGTCAATGGATGGTTGCATTGGCAAGTTTCTTCCTCATGATCTCCACGGGAGGAGCACTCAACAACTTCAGCCTCTTCTCGCAGCATCTCAAGCTGTCCCTCGACTACAACCAAAAAAATATCAACACCATAAGCTTATTTAAGGACGTTGGCACCAGCGTCGGGATTCTCTCCGGCCTCCTCTATGATCTCACCGGGCCCTGGGTCGTGCTCCTCCTTGGATTCGCGCTAAACTTTGCTGGATACTTCACGATATGGCTGGCTACAACGCAGAGAATAGCACAACCCCATGTCTGGGAACTGTGCTTCTATCTCTTTATGATCGGCGCATCGGCAGCCTTCACCACCACCGCTGTTCTTGTGGCCTGTGCCAAGAATTTCCCCAAGAACCAGGGCATGGTTCTTAGTCTTCTCGACAGTACGCAGGGATTGAGCGTTGCGATGTTCACGCTGCTTTACCAGGCCTTTTTCTCTCGCAATGACGATTCATTCGTTCTCTTGCTGGCCTGGTTTCCATCACTCTTGTGCCTTCTCTTCGCGTTTTCCATTCGATCCGTCCCACTCGACGGTCGCTACAATGACTCGAGAACGCTCTTCGTCTTCTTGTCAGTAACTTTGATCCTGGCTGGATATCTCATGGCTATATCATCCTCCAGCACTTCGTGCGCCTAGAGTCTCGGATCATCAAGGCCTTCTTTTCCATTATGCTGATCATTCTCTCCATCCCAGTTCTTGTGGTTCTGAGACAGGAATCCAAAACCCTCCGGCATCGCCTTCGCGAAGAAGTTGATGTTGATCTAGTGGAGAACGCAGCGATAGAAACTCCTCAAACAGATTATCAAGACGTAGATCCTCCGGATCATGGGGCAGACGCCGCTGCTCCAGCCATCGCCTCGCACATTTCGATCTTCTTCTTTAAAGGATCGCCCGTCAAGCGAGGAGACGATTTCACAATCCTCCAGGCGCTCTGTAGCATCGACATGTTTCTCATCTTCGTGGCTTCAACCTGTGGCATTGGCGCTGTGCTAACCGTGACCAACAATTTCGGCCAGATTGGAACGTCCCTTGGCTACTCCCAGGCCGGAACAAACACTTTCATCGCCCTCCTTAGCATCTGGGACTTCAACGGTGGCGTTGGCGTTGGCTTCATCTCGGACATATGCCTCGCCAGCTATGGCGTCGCAAGGCCCTTCTTCCTGTGCCTGGTTCTCTTGCTTCTGTCGCTTGGGAGCTTGATAATCGCTCTTGGGCTTCCCGGAGCGCTCTTCTACGGCTGGGTTTTGATTGGGCTGTCAATCGGTGGCCAGTGGTCGGTTCTTTACACCATGATAGCGGAGATCTTCGGGCTCAGGTTCTATGGGACGCTCCAAAATGTAACTTACGTCGCTAAGGCTCTGGGAACTTATGTTTTGTCCGTCCGGGTGGCAGGAGTTTTATACGACTGCGAGAGTAAGCTTGGACCGAGCAATGGAAGTTTGGATGGTGATGAGCTCCTTTGCCATGGACCACATTGCTACAGAACAACCTTTTTCGTAATGGCTGGAGTGTGTTTGTTTGCATCCATTGTGAGCTTGATCTTGTCCATTAGAACAACAAAGTTTTATAGTGTCACTCTTCGAAAGAGATTAATTGATTAATAGATGTTAGCTGCTGAAATGAAAAGTAAAACTTCTACAAGCTGCTGAAATGAATAGTAAACTTCTACGCATAATCCGATTAGCCTAAAAATTTTAGATTATATGCAATTACTCACTTGAGTTATTATTTTAAATGCAAAGTCAAACCAGCCCATCAATAGTTGATGTTTTATGGGATAATTTCTCAATAAGACAGATAATCATGCAAAAGAAAGACCATGAGATTCTCTTGTATGCAATGGATATTAATATATATGATCAAAAAGGAAAAAATTGTAACAATCATTAGCAAATATTTACTATTTAATTTGGTGAGATTAAATACAGTGTAAGACTTCTTTTGGTAGATAAAGTGATTAGAAGCAGTATACAATAATCTTCATGATAATAAATTACATGAAAGATTAGAAACTCAAAAAGTAAATAATAATTAACTAACTATAAAATAGAGAGAGCATAGGAAAAAAATTATAATGAAGATTGCCACATGGCAAGTTGCCCAAAGACAAATACAAAATCTATTTACTAACACTAATGCTTTAGTTTTAAAGTATATTATCTTGAATATTAAACAAACCATTAAAATTCTCATTATTTTGCATTTTTAATAGCTGCACTATGCATGTAGCAATGTTTGGTTATAATAGTGTCATTCCTGTTTACTATTATTGAATAATCTAAATGATCAATAATCATAAATACATTTATAACTTACAGGTTTGCTTAAACAATCCAAAAAATAATCTAAAGTATTCAATTATAATAATTTACTCTTTATAAACTCTTTAATTATAAATTTAGGTTGTAATAGCTAAAGGGCTATTTAGTTTTACCATTATCTAAGACTCTTAATTGATGTATATTTCATAATGACAATTTGGTTCCATTCTTCAGACAAAATCTATAAACAAAGTTCAGTTTGTAATCGCTCCACAACTGATCCACACTCTTTCCAGTCAGATCCTGGAAGTAGTTTTCACTCCACCCGTCATAGAGCTTCTTGTTAAGCTCTGCCACAAAGCTGGGATAGAGATCGTTGACATAGTTTAGAAACAGTGCAGTCACGGTATACCCCTCGTCCCAGTGGCTCCCCGACCCCACAAACCCATTGGTCGACACACCTAGCTTAGCCTTGAGCCTCATAAAGTCGGCAATCCCCTCGATCAGTCCCTGCGGCGCCCGGCTCCCGTCCTTGCCGAACCACTGCCAAATGTGAGTCATCTCGTGGTACAAGACGCCTCGGAGCTCAAAAACCAAGTCTCCAGTGAAAGTAGCAACAAACTGTGCGCTGAGATGGATCTCCACACCAATGGCGTAGGCCACCCCAGGCATGCCGTCCACTGTGAAGTGGATGGTGTCAATCTCCTTCTTGGGTGTGTCGGGGCTCATATACTCGAAGCCAAGCTGGACGAAGGCCATGGCATCGGCGAGGATGGAGAGGGCTCCATCTACTCCCATGACAGAGTCGAAGCGCTGGCCTCCCGGGGATTCTGGGGTTGTGTTGGCGCCTGTGATGGAGGTGCCTTGAGTTACCTGGAATGCACAAATTGGATGTCTTCAACTTGTGAAAGCTGATATTGTCCTCCATATTTTGAATATGAAAAATTGGAATATCTATTTTTAGACAATGATTCAACCTCAATATTGTGAATGGAAGAATAGCAAAGTGAATGGTGATTGACATGTGGAGTTGGAAGTGTAAAAGAGCTTATATCTTTCACCTATTTTGTCACCCTATTATGCACCACAAATAATATTATTAGATACTAAAGTTTTAGAAATTAAAAAATAGAAAGTGAAAAACTAAAAATATAACTATTCATAATTTAGAGGTTAAAGTGTTATTTAGAATTAAATTCTGAAGTGAAGATCTAAATATTTTTTTTCTTAATTTATAAAGCTATAAACATTAATACTTACAATCCGCTATACTTAATACTATTTAAATCCAAATATGCTTAATTCCAAGTATTTGAAGACCTTTAACCATTTGGGAAAATAGATGCTCATTTCCTTCTATATTTAAACTTTTATAAACCATTTTTTTGAGTCATTCTCAATTGCTTACATTGCATCATGCTTCAAAAGGCATAAATGGAAGTTATCCCTCAAAAAAAAAAAAAAAAAAACCCAACCAGAAGAAACTAGATTATTAAATGTCAATCTCAATATGTGGTGTGATATGGTATGATTCCTCTAGCCAATTAATAAAGTCATACTTGAGACCTTTTGAATGCCAAATGTCATTTTTGTTGGCTATAATCCACTATGCTTCTATGTAAATTCATGTTTTCTTGAGCAAAGGTTATCCCTTGGGTCGAGCCTAACTAAAGGGAATTGAACTATTAAATATTAATATCAACATATGGTGTGATATGGTGTATTTAATTAATAAAGTCGAACTCAAGGTTTCTTAGATGCTAAATTGTAAGCTTTGAAATTTGGACTTTCCAGTATGTTAACATATTTGTAGCACATGTGATCATGGAATAAGATTTGGATATACTATCACTATGGATCTTTAAAACTTTAGAGGATAAATGGGGATAAAATAACCACTAAAGGCTTTTTCATTATGGTTTAAGGGGAGAGAGATAGGGTGCATTACATGTGGTATCAAAGAAAATGACATAAGTTCAATTCCTATTGATTAATGGCTACTTAAAACCCACTTATAATCATGCATAGGAAGGATCCACTAGTGCTATGCTAAACAGCTATGGACTAGCCTATTTGCCACTTATAGCAAACCTAGGGAAAATTTACTTTTACCCATAGTACATGAAACCACTCATGGAACCACCAATAGACTAACATTATTCCTACCAACTTAAAGTGTAACTTTGAGTTGTTAATGTGCCTTACTTACAAGCCCAAATGCAAACTCATGCAAACAAAACATTTCAATCCATTTTATAAGCCCAAGCGCAAGCTCACATAATATGGTATAAAAAAGTAACCAAAATCCATACCCAAAGAACAAATGCAAAGCTTTTGCATTTAGATATATACCCACTTAAATCATTGTTTTCATCTTTGCGTATACAATGAGACTAATTGCCCAATTTCATTGGATAGTATTTGTTAAAACTCATCCTCTAATACCAAATATAACACATATAGTTTTCACCCTTCATTCTATGGTGATTTACCATAGGATAACCATGAAGTGGAACTTAAACCCTCCATATGCCACATGTTATATGCCATGTGTCCAAAGGACAGTAGTGTAGAACCCGAGTTTCAAGGCTTTGGTCCATTGAACGAAAGAACGGTGCCACACTCCTAAGTATAGAGGCAAGAAGCAATGACATTGGGGCCCAAAGGTTTTTTTTAGGGTTCCCCCTTAGGGGGGAAAGGGTTAGGGCCCAAAAGTGCTTGGGAAAATTTTAAAGGCTTTTATTTTCCCATTTTTGGGTTTTTTTTCAAAAAGGGGCCCCCCCAAATTTTGGGGTTTTTTTAACTTTCCGGGGGCCAAAAAGGGGGACGGGGGTTTTTCCCCCCTAAATTGGGTTGGAATTTGGGGTTGGACCCCAATTAAAATCCCCAAAAGGGCCGGCCATCAAAGGGGGACTTTTTTTTTTTTTTGGGTGGGGGGAAAAGGCCCAATTTCCCCCTTTTTATTTTTTAAAACCCTTAAAACCCCCCCCCCCCCCCCCCCCCCCCCCCGCCCTCTAAGGAACATATGCTTTACGCTTTCACCTTTAGCTACCCTTAGTACTAGAAGTTAGTCTCTAGGACAAATTTGAAATTTGCTAAATATAGAATATCCCTAGATTGTGAATTTAGACATAAGATGAACACCATTATGTTTAGGACAATCTTTACATTCTGTAAATATGCCAAATGAGAAAATTTAGACACTTTTCATAAATAGCATTTGGGACTGGAATGAGACTAACATAAAAGGCATGATAGTGAGGGTGTTTGGCAAATACGGTAGCTATCATTTAGTGAATATTGAGGGATTAAGTTCAATATCACAAAGGTTCTTGATACTATCAAGTCCAAGCTAATGATAGGAGTTTCTCAAACTAAGCCGAATATGCTTAGCAAGAAACACATATGGTTCCTACCTTATGTTTATCCGATTTAAGTGTACAGTCATTGACTAGTTTTTCAACTATTTTAAGTAGGAATTGATAACAATATTGACCTCTTGCCATTATGGCTGTAAGGAAAGAATATCTGAAAGGACTAATTAATAGATAACTTTTGATACCCACAGTTATATTTGCGACATTCTCCCCCCTTAGGGAAGATCGATGTCCTCGTCGATACATACTCTAATTTAGAACACTACCAAGGAAACAACTCCAAAAATAGTTTATGGCATTCACACTTTATGAGAAATGCACCAACTTAAATAAGTTAGAAAGGAACTTCTTTGTCTAATGCAAGTGTGTTACACTCAAACATTTTCTGGCCATTGCTGGCAAAGAAATGACCAATAGAGTTAGCCACCCTTGTGGCTCTAGGTATCACCTAGCTTACAAAAGTGTGATATACCCCTACTCGCAGGGACATAAAGAGAGAAGCCAAAGGCATTAACCCTCTTGAGCAAAGAAACCAAACCTAAACCATTTGTAAACGACTAAATTTTCCATTCTACTTTAGTTACTTAACCACACCTCCGACCACTTGGAGGAGTCTCATTCACAACCTCCTTAAGTCCAATTCAGGACTTGGGACTTGCTAGTCCCAAGGATGGCATCCATGCCACTCATCCCTTGCACTTGGTCCAAGTGCTCCCCGTGTCCAGTCCCAAGACTGACACCCAAAGGTACCACTGACATCTCGGATTCCATCTCGGGTCCATCTCGGTCCATCTCGGACTCCATCTCGGGTCCATCTCGGACTCCATTTCGGGTCCATCTCGGACTCCATCTCGAACTCCACCTCGGACTTCAACTCAGGTCCATCTCAGACACTTCCACGTGTCATGTGTTGGTCCTTTTGGATCCCTTTTTGGAGCCTCGCTTATTGCTCGCTTCATGCTC